TTTTTTCCAAAGGGTTGCCACCATTCAAAAATTTAAATTATATGGAGAAAAATTTTAAATATTATATTCGAAACACAATTGTATTCGAACACAAAAATAATAACAAATTTAAGATTCTTATTTTTCAAAAGGGTTGCCACCATTCAAAAATTTAAATTATATGGAGAAATTTGAAAAATTAAATCAGAAAACAAATAAACACTAAAACAATGACAAAGTTAAGATTTTTATTTTTCAACAGGGTTGCCACTATTTAAAAATTAAAGTATATAAAAAAAATTAAAATATTATATTAGGAAACAAAAAACGATAAAATAATAACAAAAAAAATCCAAAGGGTTGCCAACATATAAAATTTAAATTATATAGAGAAATTTAAAATATTATATTCGAAAACAAGTAAACACCAAAACAATAACAAATTTAATATGTTTATTTTTTAAAAGGGTTGCCACTATTTAAAAATTTAAAGTAATTAAAAAAATATTTTATTAGAAAACAAATAAACGCATTTTAGTTATACGATTTATTATATTATACATACGGGCTTAGTTGATTTAGTAGACTCCGTATGTCTATTATTGTCCATAAGTTTTTGATATATTAATCTCAAATTTTGTGCGAAACTTTTGCTCTCTAAGAAGCTGCTAATATTGTTGGAATCGCCAATATCGGAACACTATAACTTATAGCGGCCTTACAAACTTGCCGATCAAAATCAAGTTCTTGTATAGAAAACCTCTTTATTTGGCAAGATATCTTCACGAAATTTGGCACAGATATTTTTTCTAAGACTTCTCGAATCGCTTTAACATATAACTGCCATATAAAGTGTTTGATGTAAATCAGGATAATGATCTTTTCATGCTATGAGGCGCATTTATTAGGAGAAGGGTATTAGCAGCCGCAGTTAACATTTTTTCTTCTTTTAAATTATAGTATTTACTTCATGATACATAAATATGTATAATTAATTTTAAGAATCTGCAGACATAAATATTATATGCATGCATTTTACTGCTCAGTAGCTAATCAGTACTAAGCGAATGTATGTAGATGAACAAGAACGTTTCAGAGTTCATAGCTCGCCATAAGTATATGTATTATATGTAATATGTAATCTTATTTACATGTTTATTTCAGCAATTTGCTGCCTCAAGGTCTTAAAGGGGACAGCTGACACCAAAATCAGTGAGTCACCGAAATAACGCAATCAAACCATTTATGAGCGCGTAATTTGTGTGGCCATTTGCAAGTGCATATGAGTGAATAAATATGTAGTGTGTGCATAATATAGATATACATATTATGTATGCATAAATGTCGAAATATATTTCTTAACATTTTGACAACGTTCGTGCAGATAGTTTAGGGAACATCACCCTAATTGCAGCAGCAATCGCTAGCAACTGATGCAATTTCATTAGCATGCAACAAAAAATGGTGTTATATACAATGAAGTATATATGTACATATGTATGTATGAGAATGTATTTGTGTTAATAACACACACATATGACATATTTGCATATTTATTTAACTTTGTCCAAAAATATAACCTAAAGCTTCACACATAAAGTTATCTTTACAGCTAACAAGCGCAATAGAAGCGTGGCGCAAGCTTCAAGCTACTTATATACCTATTAAACCCATTATTCAGCTATATAAATCCGTACAATTTCCATACGATTTGCTTACAGTCGCTGAAGAAAAGCGTCATTTTGTGTTCCTTATATGTCATAAGTATAGTATTTGAAGCAATTTAATAATTGTGTGGCAAATTAGACGCATTCGCATACAAGCGGGCACATATATGTCTATATAGGAACACATACATATGGCAGGCATGCATATACATATACGTACAAACATATATACAACCACCCATACACACACACACACACCAATGCACACGAAATCAAAACGTAGAAGGGGAAGCGACCCTGGTCCAATTGACAGCTAGTAAACGCTGTATAGGTCAGCGACGACGAGCTTGTATGCAAAGTTGCCACAGTTTATTAAGAGCAGACTGAATTAAGATTTGACTGACGACCGCTGATTGTTGTGGGTTTGACAGTGGTTGCGACATGGCAGCAGCAGAGAGGAGAATGGAGAATGCGCGCGACCAACGGATGCTGGTGGGTGTATGCAACTATGCAAAGCAAGCAAAAAAAAAAAAAAAAAAAAAAAAAAAAAAAAAAAAAAAAAAAAAAAAAAAAAAAAAAAAAAAAAAAAAAAAAAAAATTAACAATAAAAAATTACAGCACTAAATGCGAATGACTGACAGCGCAATAAATGATAATACACAAATTGAATTTTAGCTAAAAATAAATCGCGCTCAACTAGGCAAATGAAGTAATGTGCGAAAAAGTGGAAAAAAACGCAAACGTAGGAATAAAGTGGAAAATGTGGGTAATTTGATAAGTGTGGTAAACTACATGATATTAATAAACGGAGATTTGTTGCAAATTTGTTTGGCGCCCAATTTGTAGGAGTTGTGAGAGAGCGCTACGTATAAAATTATAATTATAAATTTATTTATTACCTAAGTAAAAAAAAAGAAATATTAAAAAATAAATGTTATACACAATTTTCAGGATCCCGTTTTTTCGGGATTAGAGCAAATTTGTAACGTTTTTCTTAATAAAAGCCGAAAACCTACTAACCTAACGCGTTGTTCGACTTATTGGCAATGTGTGTTCAAGATCCCGAAAATTTGCGGGATTGCAAAAATTGTCAAATTTTCTGTTAATAAAAACGTAAAAGGTATGCAATACATTTTTATGCGTGTTTTAGTTTTTTAGTGAACATATTTCATACTTTCGGTTTCTCTAATCTAAACCTTGGGATAGTACCAAACATACATACATACATACATACATATGTATAAATACATATTATTATACCAAGGGTTGATGCTTATTAATAAACTGTTACACCAATATTATACCGGGTTAATCGACTAAGCGCCTTTTTTATTTCCTTTTTATCTGTACTACATATTATATATTATTGTTCCGCAGTTTTCGGGTTCAATTATATAGTATGTATATTCGCTATAAATTCATAACATGAAAAAAAACTTTCTTTGTACATAAATTAATAATTGTTAATAAAACAATTTTCCTCTTTTTACCGTTTTCAACTCTTATACAATAAGTTTTCGGGATCCCGAAATTTTCGATATTACCGTAAAAATCTAATTGTTCTCTTAATGAAAGCCTGTTCGTGTTGTTGTCGACAATTCTTATTCAATAAGTTTTCGGAATCCCGAAAATTTCGGGATTTCAGAAAAATTCTAAAATTTTCTCTTATGGAAATCYTATATTGAATAGTTCAATAAATTGTTTTTCCGATTTCAAAATTTGTTTGTAAAAAATTGAAATTTTTTTTATATATTCTTAATTTTTGGGAGGGGTCTTTAAACATAACTTTTATATAAAAATGGTTGCCGTTTATCAATAAATTGTAACCCCAATATTATACTATGTTGTTCGACTTACTGAGGTTACAATTTTCTTCCTTACTTCACTTTAAAATGCTTCCGGAGTTTTCGGGATCAAACAAATATACGGTATAGTTCTTCATTGAGTTTTTGTGATCCAAAAATATCTAGCACACCATTAAGTGTGTTTCTTTAAATATACGAATTTAATCACAAAAGATATTAAGCTACACGAAGTTACAACTCCTATGCAATATTCGGAATCCCGAAAATTTTCGGTATTTGTTAATCAGTTGTGTTCATATGCAATACATATTTATTTCTAGTCCAAATTTTCCTCTAAATAATAAAAAAAATTTAACAAAATTACAATTTCTCTATGTACATACAAAAATATTTCGGGATCCCGAAAGTTTTCGGCTTTTTCTGTTATTCGAAAAAGTATTTATTTGTACTATTCAAAAATTTTCATGAATTTGTCCATTAGTAATATGTGGGTATTATGTTCGGCATTTCGAAAATTTAAAGTTTACATGTTTGTGTATTTACTTACATATGTACATACCTATTTATGTACGTCTGTACTAACAACAAAATGATTCAAAAAATTAAAACTAAATTTAATTTAAAAAAACTTAAAAACAAAAATTCCATGAAAAAATTTGAATTATATTGACAATTAACACATATTGAACACAGAATTTTTAATTTCAATCTTGTAGCATTCAAACACATCGCAGTGAAATTAAAATTTATAAAAATAAATAACAAAAATATTCATTCGAGGCACGTACAATAGCCCTTTGTCAAAGCAAGTGCTGAAAACTACGGGCGAAAACCTCGGTTACATATTAACATATCTACAAAACAGCTAGTGAGAACGAAATTGACAGCAGTCTATAAACGAAAATAACTTTAAATATTTTCCAATAAAACATTTGAAACCTAAAGGCACTTCCAGCTCAAGCAAAAGCATGTTATTAGTGTGCTCAAAGTTCATATATCAATTTTGTGAACCGATTTTATTATTTTAGGAAGTTGCGTAATACTTGACTAAATTAAAAATGTTACAAAGTTGGCACATGTTTGAAATACTAGATTAGAACTAAAGAGCTTTGAGAAAACTAAGTAAACAAACATAGCTTTTGGGAAGGGTTTCAGGGGGATTGCCACTTGTTTAAACGATTTTTATACTCGGATATAAAAAAAAAAATTAGAAGGTTGGAACCTGGAAGGAATTGGAAGGAACTGTTGGAAAACATTTAACCAAAAATTATAAATATAAAAGAAAAAAACAATAAAAGTAAAATGTTTTAAGAAAGCAACGAAATTTTAAATTAAATATGTATGTGAGGAATTTCAGCAGGATTGCCACTTGATTGCTAAAAAATTATAATTCGTTATGAACCGATTTTAATATTATATGAAATATGCGTTGTAATAACCGTACCTGAATTTTTCCAAAAAAGTAAAAAAGGTTGCCACCTGGTTGAAATAACTTTTAATTGCTTTTGAACCGATTTTAATGTTATATGCAGCATGCGTTATAATCCTTAAAATTGAAATTTTCAAAGTTGGAGTGTTGCCACCCATTTGAAGTAATTAAAAAAAATCATATAATTAAAAAACAATACATGAGCGCTAAAAAAGTTTAATTAATCGAAGAAAAAATAAATAATTTTTGCTGATGGTTATTATAAAGGTTACCACTTGTTTAAAAAATATAGTTTCCTCTTTTTAATACAATAAACATAGTCAAAATATCAAAATTAACGCATTTAGATTAGCCCGCTTAAAAAAAAAATTATTTAGGAAAGTTGCCACCTGATTAAAAAATCCAATTCAATGAAATGGTTAGAGTAAACTAATTATTAAATTACAGTTCTAAGACATATCAACATTTAAAACATTTTTTTTTTTAGAAAAGATGCCACCCTAAAACAGTGGCATAGTTAAATCTATTAGAATTTATCAAAGACAAATTTGTTTAAGGAAAGTTGCCACTTGTTTAAAAACTCTCATTCAATGAAATTATTTAAGTAAAGCAATTATTAAAATATTTATACGATACTACAGTTCTAAAGCATATTAATTAAAAATATTTTTTAGAAAAGATGCCACCTGAAAACAATTAACTTAGCTAAATTTATTAGATAAGCTTTTGTAAAAAATAGAAATGTTTATAATATAAGTAAAAAGGTTTGAAGAACCTCAAAATCGAAAAGGTTTTGAAAAATTTTGCCACCTGTTAAAAAAATTTTAATTAATAAGTATAGTTTAATAATAAGGTAAATTAATAGAGTTGTAGACATTTATTGAAGCTTGAATTTGGAAATATTTTTCGCCACTTGCCACTTGTTTAATATTTTTCAAAATTGTAATTGATAATAATAGTGTAATGATAAACTAAATTCATAGAGTTTAACATATTTAATTAAGCTTGGGTTTGAAAATATTTTTCAAAAAGGTGGCCACTTGCTTAATATTTTTAAAACTAAATACTGGGAATACGTATTTATTCTCCTTTTAAGTGCCTATAATGCTTAGGACACATGCTATTTTTTTGTTTTTTATATTATGGAGAATGCTAATGTGTACAGGAAGATTTTTCAAGTCGGGCATATATTCCGCATTTTAATTTTGACGAACGCAAAGTAATAGCGGAAAATATTTATCTCTCAATAATACTTTTATAATTCTTTACTACTTCGCTTCATTTTTAAGAGAAAGTATGTGGGAACAATAATTAAAAAGAAGCTTGTTCCAATAACGAGACTTTTCGGAAGAGAATGGTATTTTCTTTTCCTTGAGAGCTCGAGAGAAGATTGAGAGATCTGTTTTCAAATACTACATGCGTCAAAATATCAGCAGTTTATAAACTTTTGGAGCTCTTTTACATAAACGAAATTTTGTTGCGTGTTAGATTGTCAAATTAGAAAATGATTGGGTTATGTAAAGCTATCGTAGGACCAAGGCTGAATCGTCTAGTCGGTTGGTGAATTAATTTATAAAACAAAAAAAAACAGAACTTGAAAATATGCCAGGAGAACTGAAACGAAATGAAGAAAGGCAAGCCTAAAAACTCTGCGGCCAATGAATCAACGAAGAAGGAAGAGAGCAAGAGAATCACTTGTTTTTGCAATCGATCTGCATAAAAAGCAATTTTGAGCGTAAAAATAAGGTTCATCAAAATTCCGGACATTTAATTTCAAAATAGCTTAAACTCTTGTTTCATAAGCAATGAGTTCTTCATATGATTCTAAAAGCTGTTTTACAAACTAATAAAATTGTTTAATGGATGTAATGTTTATAGCTTCTAACCGCAAAACTTATATTCCACTTTTACAGTTTCATATCTGGCATTACACTATTGGGCACACCCACAGAGGTCTATCTCTTCGGCACACAGTATCTCTATATCATGGGCTCGTTGGTGATCATGGGTTTCGTGCTTTACTATTTCTTCCTGCCAGTATTCCACGATCTCAAATTAATATCCACATATCAGGTAAGAAAATTTGTTCTGTCTTATAACTCTTTAGTCGACACTTTTTATGACATTTCTACTGTTAGTATTTGGAGTCGCGTTACGATCGGCGCATGCGTCTCTTTGGTTCAGTGCTCTTCATGTTCGGATCGGTGAGTGAAATTCATTATATACAATTCACATCTTTAGCAGAGAATACTTCTTTACTTTCTCTTATTCTCTTTTAATTCAGTTATTATGGCTGCCAATTGTCATTTATGTACCCGCACTGGCCTTCAATCAGGCTACGGGCGTTAATATACATCTGGTAACGCCGATGGTTTGTCTAGTGTGCATTTTCTACACATGTGTGGTAAATAGACAACGCGAATAGACAGAAGAAACAAGATTTCTATTTCAAAATTGCTCCTCTCTTTAGGGTGGTCTAAAAGCTGTCGTTTGGACTGATGTTGTGCAGACGATCATTATGTTTGGCGCCATGGTTTTGATCATTGTTAAGGGCACCCTAGATGTGGGTGGATTTGGTGAGGTTTATCGTAAAGCGAAGGAGAGTGGACGCATTGAATCGCCAAAGTAAGTTTTTTCTCATTACCGTTCATAGGTTATTGATATACAATTAGCTTTTACTCTCCACAGCTTCACCTTTGATCTCACCGAGCGTTACACCGTCTACTCGCTCTTTATTGGCGGCGTTGCTCACTGGTTGAAATCGAATGCGATCAGTCAGAACATGATCCAACGCTATCTCTCGCTGCCGAATATGAAATCAGCGCGCACCGCTCTATGTCTCTTCATATGCGGCGTGCTGACTTTTATATGTATTTGCGGCTACAGTGGGCTGCTAATCTATGCGACCTACCACGATTGCGATCCGCTGCAAACGAAGGTGCGCTGTTGTTTTTTTGTTTGCTTAAACACCGACTAAATCTATATTTCCAGCTCGCCAAACGAAATGATCAACTACTGCCGTTACTTGTCATGGAAATATTGGGCGACTATCCCGGCTTACCAGGTCTCTTCGTTGCTGGCGTCTTCAGCGCTGCGCTCTCTTCACTCTCCACTGGCTTGAATTCTATGTCTGCTGTTATGCTTGAGGATTTCTTCAAGTCATTTGCTAAAAAGCCACTCACCGAACGTCAGACCGCGCTTATAATGCGTTTCGTAGTCATCATCTTCGGTGCCATATGTGTGAGCCTGGTCTTTGTTGTGGAAAAACTTGGTACAGTGCTACAATTGACTATAACATTATCGTCCGTCGCAAACGGTCCGCTCTTGGGCATCTTCACGGCGGGTGTGATGGTGCCCTGGATTGAGGGAAAGGTGAGTGGTCAATAGCAGTCTTAAGAGAGCTAAAAAGTGTTGACTAACAATAAAAATAATTCAATATTTTTAGGGCGCTCTAGTCGGTGGGTTTAGCAGTCTCATCTTTATGGCCTGGATGTGCATACGCGCTCAGGCAGATCTCGCAAGCGGCGCTGTAAGCTACCTACGCAAGCCACATACCATAACGGGTTGCAATTACACCTTCATTGATTTTGCTTCGATGAGCATGATAGCTGAGAACGTTACTGGGCAAACGACGGTACATTCCGAGTGAGTAATATAGACAATTTTAAAAACTGGTGTACTAAATAATAAGCAAATATAAGGGAAATAAAACAGGAAGAAAATTGAGACAAAAATGCTCGGTTGCATGAAATTAAAATCTTCTGGATGGAGTGATGTGTAGAAGCTCACGCAAGTGAGGAACATTCTCTGATCGCCAATCACTTGGGAGTGGCCAGAAACCATTACATATGGCTCAAGCAGCTCACGTCATTTGGTTTTAGACCAAGTATCCTCTGGGTAACCAAAGGACACCCGTTTAAAGGCGAGTTAAAGTGAGAAGGCGAACCATCACATCCCATAATTGTGCACTGAGCTTGTTACCCGCCACGTAAAAAATGCTCCCAATGAAAAAGAAACAATAGTGTCGGATGAGAGACCTCTTTTGATGACGACGATACTGAAATAACCTTCACAAATACCAAATATTTCTTACAAGAACTTAATTTCAGCTCGTAAGGCAGTATGAGATTGCCCTATTGTCTTACATCTCTTCAAATGCAAAAGCTTGCCCTACAAGCACTTGATCCCGACCAATCAGTTTGTATGTGAGCTATATGCTATAGTCATGCGATATCGGCGATGCGGACAAATGAACTGCTTTTTGGAAAGATAAGAACGTGTGCAAAATTTCAGATCGATATCTCGGATTCAGGGAGGATCATTAACTACGCTATATACAGACAGAGGGACAGATTGACTAACAGACGAATATGAGAAAATTGCAGATCGATATCTCAAAATTCTAAGAACTAACTCCCGTATATATAGACAGATGGACTGACAGACAGATGGACTGACAGACGAATGTGACTGAATCGAATCACCTCGTCACGCTGATTACTTATAAATCTACTTTATAGAGTTTATGAGCTTTCTTTAAATGTTACAAACTTCGTCGGTGTATAATTACAAACTCATATTTTTTTTTTTTTCAATTTTAATATAATTATAAACTTTCTTTATGCAAGAAATAAAATATCAAAACTCTTTCAACAGAAACGACACTTTTCACATCTACAACATCTCTTATCTCTTCTACACGATGATCGGCTCGCTAATAACGATCGTGATTGGCCTGATCACCAGCTTTCTCTTGGGCCCCAATAAGCTGGAGAACATGGACACATTGCTGCTGTCACCCTGTGTGCGACGCTGGGTCGACCGCTACAAGGTGCGAAGAGCGCTAGAAAATGGCACACAACAACAAAACAAAACACCGACAAAAGCGCTGGAAATGGACAAATTGAAGTTGACGAAACTGTCAGAGAAGCCCACGTAAAACTAAGCGAGTACGAGAAACGCCAGTGAAGGATCAAAGCAGCTAATAATTTTATTTATATTTATTGAAGGCATTAAGCGAGCTACCAAAGAAGAGAAGAAGCGAACAAATTAAGTTTAATATTAATTGAAAGTGTGTGAAAAGTGCGAAAATATATTGATGTAGCCTACATTAAGGCGCTACTATTTATTTAAGTCAATACTTGTAAATACCAAGCATTAGTAGAGAAGTCTTAGTGTGTAGTTTAGCACTGTAAATAGCAATAAGCAAAAACAAAAAAAAAACTAAAATTAAAATGTTCCTATAAATTATTTTAAATACAAACAAAAAGTATGTTCCCATCAATATTTGTTGCATTATTTGGGTTTAATTACGACGATTATATTACTTAAACCCACACATAGCTCCAAATAATACTTCAAAGCTTGCCTAACGGACAATACCGGCATATATGTATAAATATATATATATATTTTTTTTTAAGTTTTCGCCGCCTCTAACTATCCAAAGCAGACTGATTCTTTCACCCTTAACACAAAAAGTGCCCACTGGCGCGTTGAACCCATCACTAACCTCAAACTAATGACCCGCATTTTGCCTATGCACCCCTGTTAATTGTTAACTAAACCCTTTTGCGGCACTAAAAATTCGTCTTTCATCTTTTTTTATAGTGTTTGCCTGTCGGTCTCACTCGGTTTGTATGCGAAAAAGGTCACTCTACTATAGGTTATGTAATGTTTTTGAAAGTGAATTGAAAATTTGTGTCTATCTGACCAACAACATGCTTCGTTGTTATTGTAAGTAATTAGTAGTTGTTTTTGTTTATTTGGTTTGTTGTCTTTGGCTGCTGTGGTGTGTTATTTGTTTGTGGTTAGATAGAACTTAATTGAATAGTTAATGATTTGTGAAGATTTTAAAAGAATTTCAAAGGGAATGATTTTTTTTTTCGATTTTCTAAAACAGTAATAGTAATATGTGGCAGAAAAACTCTGTTTAAAAGTATATAATCTTAAATCACTGCACTAATTATTATAGTAGCTAAATTCTAGTTCTAAAAAGGCCTTGAACTGTGCGTTTAGGGTTGGTCGAGGAGTGTCTAACCTCGCTATTAATAGCAGCGCATCTCTTTGTGATAAGACTGCTATGGGTGCCAGGCCACAGCGGAATCGCAGGAAATTGTAAAACGGATAAGCAAGCAAGGCAAGGCAACCTAGAACCGCTGTCAATAGAATGCGAGCGGGTCGATGTTGGGGCAGCTTTCGTACATGCATTGCCGCAAAATTCTTTTGGCCCAAGATCGATAATAATAAATCTAGGGATCTCTTTGGTCACAGTAAGGCTAGCCTCACTTTACTTCTGGGACTTTCAACATTCTATTGCTCTATTGGCGTCCATGCTGTAAATCTGGATGCTATCTGCTGTATCGAAAAGATGAGGTAGAAACAACTCAACACTTCCTACTTGACTGCCTCGCGTTTGGGAGTTGAAGACTTAAACACTTAGGAACGCATACCTTCAGACATCCCATCGCACTGGCGTGGCAACTAAGCATTTCGCAAATTAATAAGTTCAACAGTTTTTCTTCTCTATAGCTTCAAAAAAGACTATATGCAGCAATCCAAGTGCGATCTCTCTAGATCAGCCATCTAACCTAATGCTACACACATTAACAACTAGCTGAGCGTATAGTTCCTCGTCGAAGGGACCACAATTTGGATACACTTTTCGAAATACTTGACTTCGTTAATGATAACTTTTAAATATGCTATAATAAAAAAGACAAGAGCTCCCGCAAAAATTACTTATCACGGTATTTTTTCGCCAGACGAGGGTGACCAAAATGCGTTCGTATCATCATTGTGTCGTCACAGATCCCATTGCTGATATTTGCAGGTCACTAAAAAACTCTAGTCTAAGGCACCATGATTCAACGTAGCATCGATTTCGCACTTATTCAGTGTGGCGTTCCATATTTCTTGTCTTGAGCCTAACATGTCAGTCCATACGTCCAGATACCGTTTTTGAACAATAGTACGTTTACTCATGTTCTCCCAATTTGCCTCGTTTTGAAGCATGATACTTAGAAAGCTGTTCGGCACAAGGACTGAAACGATTAGGCATTTACTACCGTGCCATATAAAGGAACGCAAATTCAATGTGCGAGACGTGGAGGAAGGAGACTCCGTCATCGAGTCTTAGCATTCACGCCGGTGAATAAATGTCTAGCCACAAGCCGCATCAAAGCGAATTTCTTCAACATATCGCTGATTTGGCCCACGCTCCGAGGCGTCAACGCTGACAACATCAGATGAGTCGACTTATAGAGTTTTCGAGAGCATTGACATAGTTCAGCGAATGAAAAGACAGCGGCTACGATGGTCATGCAGTCATACGCAGTAGCCGCCGAGGGCAGCACAGGAAGTAACAGACCTCCCGTCCGCTGGAAAGACCAGGTGGAGAAGGACCTGACTACACTTCGAATTGGCGCCAAGCAGCGAAAAGGTAGAACGACTGGCACGCTGTTTTATAATCGGCTATTACCGCGTAAGAATTGTCTACGCCAATAAAGAAGAAGATGATGATAAAGCACACAAATCACTTATCGCCTATAAATAATAATTATAAATATAAAAAAGTTTAAAAATTCCATTATAATGCTCTAGAAAAATTAAAAACTATTTTCTCTTTACTAATAGAATATTTATATTACTGAAACTATTATAATTCTAACGGCATAGTATGGCTTTGACTGAAAGCACAACACTAAACAAACTATTACCAAAACGGATGTCAACGGAATGCAACCCTTCAACTGCTTGCTTTTAACATATCTGCCAAAACACGAGATAATACAAAACAGCATCCCATTAGTGATGTCAACTCTTTTATGCCGCCAGTGTCAAAACATAAGCGTACACAAAGTACGACGAAAAGCAATTACAACCGAAGTGACATGAGTACATATTTTTGATTTTTCTACTACTATTTTGTAGTCAAATTTTTATTTTGCACTTTACCCCCGAAAAATGCGTAATGGTTGGGTGAAATAATAATTAAAATTGTTGGAAAATCGCACATAAAAGACAAACGAAAATGTACGGTACTCCTACACGAAATTGTGGCCTGTAGGAAAAGTGTAGTGGAAAAATTTAAGTGCAACGAGCTTTCATGCTTTATTTTAATAAGTTAACGTTGGTTTTTTGCTTAATAATATAACTTCGTAGTGTCCTTATATGCGATTCCTTGGTACATAAAAAAGTTTTCAAAATCAAACATGGCCAAAAGCTTACATTTCTGAGCTTTCGCATAACCTAGACAATTAACCAACGCTTAAAAATATATTTACAAGTTAACAAAGATCATTCTAAATCCAGAATGAGTTCCTACTACGAATAGAATAAGTTATCCCTAGATAATTACGAGTCTGCGAAATAATATTGTGTAAGATCTCAAAGCTCTCGCCTTAAAATCTAAATTTGAATAAAAGTAACGTACTTCTCTTTCTATCTTCCCTAACTTATTTTCAATGCTTTATATTATTATATTAAAACTTTTGTGGAAAACTGGCCACAATTTTACAACCGATTTTGCTTAGCTAGAGCAACGAAGGATGGTGCGTACATTTATGCGCATCCATCAGAATTACTTCACTATACTTTCAGGAAACTTTTAAATAAAATATTTACTCAATTTAGTTCCTAAGTCTATGTCGAAATGAATGAAGCCACAGACATTGCGAAATGCAAATACAGAAAATAACCCTGCCATTAACATCATTTATCTCAGGGTGTAGTATACTTTTAAGAGCAAAGACAAAATTTAGCTAAGCTAATTCTTTATATGAAAGGAGTTTTGTGTAAAAGTTAACACAAGTGAGAAAAGTTTTCTGAGCGCCATTCACTTGGGAGTGGCCAGAAACGATTCTTTTACATATGGCTCAAGCAACTCACGACTTCCAGTCTTAGACCAAGTATCCTCTGGGTAGCCAGAAAACATTCGTTTGAAGGCGAGCTGAAGTGAGACGCGAATTAGTCCTCCCCATTGTTGCGAGCCCCCAATGAAAGGGAACTAATAGTCTTGGATGAGAGACTACCCTTCTGCTGACGACCACGGCAAACGCCTTAAGGTTTACGATCTAAAGGCATGCATTTGCAATGTTCGGTCCCTTAATTGAGAAGTTGCTGCTACCCAGCTGATTGATGTCCTCGTAAAAGTAAAGGCTAACATCACCGTCGTCCAAGAAGTGCGACGGATGGGACAAAGACTAAGACGAGCAGGTCCCTGTGTCATTTACTACAGTGGCCACATAAAGGAGTGTAAATTCGTTGAGGGATTCGTGGTGGGATACAAATACCGTCACCAAGTTCTGGCATTCACCCCAAAGAAAAAAATTAGAAAGGTTCTCCGCAAAATCCTTTTCACATTTTCATAGAAAAACTCGAGAGCATTGAAAGAATACAATCAAATGTTTTGAAGAAAAGCACCTTTTTAGGTAGGCCTTGAGTTAGGTCTTAAGGTCTTCAAACTGTTAAACCACATCAACCAACAGCTAGAAAGCAACCTACTTTTTACCTAAAGGGTACTCAACAGCACACTATAAAGGTACAGAAAAGCGCACTTCATATTATTTTGTTGAAATAATAGTGGCTGGCTGCACGAAACTCTACATTTGTACCCATAGTTGTAACGCCGCATTTCCCCATTGATTCGTTTTTGATGTGCAGCGCCGCATTCGGCTCGGCGCAATTCACTAACAGACGGGTGTGTGGCCCCGGACCCATTATCATTTCCGTTTTTCGCTTGTCAGCGTTGTCTTTGCTGCCGCTGCGGCCGTTTGATACCCGCTTTTGGGCGTTTTTCGGTTGCCAGCTTCCTTGATGTGCTGGCGCTATGATGCTTTGTGTTAATGATAAAATTTTAATTATAAAATTTTTATTTCATTACTTTATTGTAGTTGACATTACCTTTGGGTGCATTACGACACATTACCCGCTGCTATTATACCAAGCAGCACAAAAGCGGGTAAGTTTGTATGCAAAAGACTTTTAAATTGTGTGTTTGTAGTTGGGATGTAGCTTGTGTGGGGTTAAATAAATATAGAAAATATTTTTGAACAAATTTTTATCAAAGAAAAGTAATTACTGTTATCATAGAATGTGTTATAATGGAATGTCATCAAATGAGCTTAAGGCGAAAATTACATCTCAAGGACCATGGACTCAAGGCTCGACTATGAAAGTGGAAACAGTGAAGCAGAGAGAGTGGGTAGATCAGGATCATTGCCTCCAGGGATCAGAGTTTTTAGTTAGTTCGATTGCTCTGCGTACATTTTATC